TCAATTTTGAATCCATCTCCTTATGATCAAATTTAAACACCATTTTCATACCTTTGATTGTGTTGAACAGCTGAGAAAATATGGAACTGAGGTTTGATTGTTCTATTAAAATTGCCAGAAGAATGGCCAGCACTAGACTTTCAGTGTGAAAAGGAGCAGAAAAGCAGAGCCTATGTATGCAATGAACAAATATGGTTTCCTCTGTGTACAAATAAAAATACAAAATATATACACTGGATCAAAGTTGTTTTTTTTTTGGGGGGGGGGGGGCATTTAAAACACATTTATAACAGTTTAAATTATATTTTATCATTTGAAGCAATTCTTGGAAAGACTATATGTGCAGTTTTAAAATTTCATTGTGGTTGAGTCAAAAACAGTGACATTTTAGGCTTTACCTAGGTGGCATAAAAAAAGGACACGTTCTCTGTAATATATGTGGAGTGGTTACAGTAACACTCATCACATAACTCTCTAGGTTCTCTTCAATTTTGAGTTCCTGCTTTGCTTTTGGGGTTTCTATTTCTTCACCGCTATGGTATAAATGAATACAATACATGTGATTCATTAATGACCTCATACTTCCTTCTAGAAATGCTAAACAGTCACAGTTTGTCACAGTATAGAGACGACGTGAGAAGTTATGGGTTATTTGCTATAAACATGAGACAGGCGTGTGTCGTACTCTACTTCTCTCTACTGCTTGTCAAGGGTAAGTGAATGGGAGAGTTGGGCAATAGTACAGTGTGGTTTCACCAAAGGAATAGAGACCCTTTACTTGACAAAGTGAAAATTAATTTTGTAAAGTTAATTTGCACTAAATTTTGTAACGTAAATTTGCACTGAATTTTGTAAAGTAAATTTGCACTGATCTTTGCAAGTAAAATAAAGCTGCAGAGCCAGACCATCCACAAGACAACCTAGGCAGAAACTACAGAGGACTAGATCCTTCTAGCTCCTGACGTAAACCAAGGTAAGAATTCAATTGGCCAGTCCCTTCAGAAGGAGGGGATACAGGCATTTGGTGTCTGATGGGCCCATGCTATTATCTATGACAGATAATGAAAATAGGTAGCATTTCTGTGGCCATTGTAACTCTCATTAATGCCAATCATAGGAAATGGGGGAGTTAAAGATTCTACCTTACCTCCTACCCCATTGTGCCATGCTCTACATCTTTGAAGATGTGCTCACATTACTAAGCCAATAGTGTGATACATGATTGGGTATCCAAAGTGAATAACAGTTCACCTTATTTGCGATCAATTTCCTGGCTAAGTGAAAAATCTCTACTCTTTTAATAAATCAACCCCAATATACAAAACGCCCTAGCCCATCGCAACCAATCAGAATTTGTCTTTAATTATGAGAGCATCTAAATCATTTACTGTTGGGATGAATCATCCATTGTCTTTTTTTTTACATTTCTGAAATCGCAATTATAAGATCTACTTAGTTAATAATTTTCTTATCTTCAAGTGCAATTCCAAAAAAAGTTTAAACTTTTGACAGGAAGGGGAAGCTTGGATCTTGGAATCTGCATTGCCAAAAACAATAACCCAAACACGGATACCTGTTTTATGAGGGGGAGGGGTGGAGGCAACTAATCTTGAGCTGCAATTTTCGGATTACATAAATAAAATCAGCCATGAATTATCTTAGTAAAATTCGTCAGATATTTTTTGGCTTCCCCACGTCAGGAACTAATTCTCAGAGGTAATGCATTTTATTAAATTATACACAGAACAAGAGATAAGTAAACTCTTGAAAAATATGATCAACTGTGGTTTTGGCAAACGTCTACAAACTCCTGAGTCTAGGAATTTAGGAGTTACAGAACCAGAAGCCCCATAACAGTCAATGGGAAGCAAAATCAGGCTGCCAAAAATGTGTTTTAGGCTCCATGCAAACTGGGCTTAAAAAAAACACCAGTTCCCTTGGCAGAAAACCACGCTGATATAGAGCGATTTGTACACAGTTTAGGTGAGTTTAGCTGTTTTTTTCTTTCTGCCAGAAAGCTCCAATCGACAATGCAAACCAGAAGGGTTTTTTCTTCCTGCCTGTAAACGTTGAGCTTAAAATATGCCTCGGATCGTCCTAATGTGTATGGACACATAGGATAATACTGAGCTGCTTCTACAGGCAAAACACAAAACTCCTGCAGAAGAAGCGATTTATAAGCCAGCGTGCATGGAGCCTTACAGAGCAGCCAATGTAGAATGGTGCAGAATGATTTCAGAAGCTCCTGGTGGACTTGTGAGAGATGGGGCCACAAAATGTAAAAAGTGGATGCGCTCTGGGGCAATTGAAAAAAAATGTAAAACAAACCATCAGCAGCACCTAGGAAGCCCTAAGCCCTCATGCACACTTGACATTTTGCTAACGCTGGTAACATTAGCTGTGTAAAGTCATGTTAAAAACGTGAGTTTTTCAGCTTTTTTAGTGTTTTTGCATTAGTGTTTAGCTGCGTTTTACTGCATTTTTCCATCTTTGTGGTTTTTAACTTTTTTTTTACCCCCAAAAATCTTTTGGGTGGTAAAAAAAATCAAAAAAAAAAAAAAAAAACGCTGGTTTGCGGCGTTTTTACTGCGTTTTTCAGTGTTAGAGCGTTTTTACAGCTGAAAAAAGTCCTCTAGAAACCCACTAGTTTGGGTTTTTTTTTCCAGCCAAAAAACGTCCCAGCCAAAAAACATGGATTACAGTGTATGATTGCATGGACCCATAGGATAACATACTGGGGGGTTTACTGGCTGTAGAAAAAAACAGCAAAAGACAAAAACAGCCGCTGTAAAAACGTCCAGTGTGCATGAGGACTAAAACTGTACCAGGAATTCTAAGATAGAAGGGTGGCCCTGGTGCCACTGGCAGTTAAGCTAACAGCGATGGAAATCACAGGTAGCCTCCAGGGCTACCAGAAATAGTGTCCCCATTGGAAAATTTCTTCTCTATTCCTGTTCTGGTGACCACTTACAATTTGGATTTTTCCTTCACTTTCAGCCCTCGTGCGCACTGGACATTTCGATAATGCTGGTAACAGCTGTGTAAAGTCACGTTGAAAATGTGAGTTTTTCAGCTTTTCTTGTGTTTTTGCATTAGCGTTTAGCCACGTTTTCCACGTTTGCATTTTTTTTAGCGTTTTTTTTAACAAAAAAATAAACTTCCAAAAAACACCGGTTTGCGGCAGTTTACCGCATTTTACCGCGTTTTTCAGCATTAGAGCAATTTACAGCTAAAAAACTCCAGAAACCCACTAGTCCTGGATTTTTTTTCCAGCCAAAAAACGTCCCAGCCAAAAAACTTGGATTGCAGTGTATGTGTGCATGGACCCATAGGATAACATGCTGGGGGGGGGTTACTGGCTGTAGAAAAAAATGTCAAAAGCCAAAAACAGCCACTGTAAAAATGTCCAGTGTGCATGAGGACTCAGTGGTACTGGTTATCAGGTAACCTTTCCACTTTATGTGCTAAAAAAAAAGTTTTGCTGTCTTCTATACTTTAAAGTGATTGTAAATTTTTAAAATAATAAGCATGTCTATACTTACCTGTTCTGTGTGAATTGCACAGAGTGGCCCTGATCCTCCTTTTCCCAGGTCCCCCGCCGGCGCTCCTGGCTCCTCCTCTCTTGCTGGTGCCCCCAATAGGAAGTCGATTCCCATGGGGGCACTCATGTGGGCTCACTCCTGAGTCAGCCCCACCCTCTGCTCCCTCATCACTAGAGTTGATTGACAGGAGAAGGAGCCAATGGTTCCTACATTGGAGAGGGACAAAGCCAGTAGAGAAGCAGCTCTCATCCACAGAGCTGGATCGTGATGGGGCTCAGGTGAGTATAAGGTGGGCAGGAGCAGATTCTTTTACACAGACTGCATTACGGTAAAAAAACCTTGAGGCTTTAGAACCACTTTATGGTAATATTTCCCCAATCACTTGTTTATATGAAAATGTTGAAAAGGTTTATTGAAAGATTAATAATTATTATTAATCATAATTAATAATTATGCTGACATTCTAAAATGTAAGTGGCTAATTATGCAAAAAAAAAAAAAAAACATTGACAGGCTAACTGAACACAGTGAAGTGGGAGGTTCAAAGTGCAGGACCAATGGCATCCAATCACCAGTAATCTTTTATTGCTCTAATTGTTTTAAAATGATGAAAGTTGATTGGTTGCTAGATGATATGACACCTATGGCCTCATCACTATCCTTGCTGAACAAGCTTTGTTTGAAAATTAAAGCAGAATTAAACTCTCTCAAACAACAATAACTAATTTTATTCTTTATGCTGCTAGCATTAGTAAATAAATAAGAAGGTATATTGTATTTACACTATTTTTTTACATTTCTTCAGTTGCCTCATGGTTTCTGGCCTAGGACAAAATGATGTCAAACATCCCAGGAGTCTTTATGACATTCTTTTTTCATCTGGAGGAGGGGTTTTCTCAGCTAAGGGCAGATGGATTCCAGGAAGTAAATGCTACACAAATCATCTGCCCTTACCCAAGATGACCATAGCTAAACACATTAGGGGGGCATTTTTTAACCGCTAGCCTACAGGGCACTTAAACACACTTCCTGCCCAGGCCAATTTCCAGCTTTCAGAGCTGTCGCACTTTGAATGACAATTGCGTGGTCAAACAACACTGTACTCATATGAAATTTTTGTCATTATTTTGTGACAGATAGAGCTTTATTTTGCAGGTATTTAATCACCTCTGGGTTTTTTATTTTTTCTTAAACCAAAAATCACTAAAAATTTTGAAAAAAAAATGTTTTTTCTTAGTTTTTGTTATAAAATTTTGTAAATAAGTGATTTTTCTCCTTCACTGATGTGCGCTAATGAGGCTGCAGTGATGGGCACTGATAGGCTGCACTGATGGACACTGAAAGGTGGCACTGATGGGCACTGATGAGGAGGCACTGGTAGGTGGCACTGATGGGCATTGACAGGCATCACTGATGGGCACTGAAAGGCAGCACTGATACATGGCACTGATAGGCAGCACTGACTGGCACTGATAGGCGGCACTGACTGGCACTGATAGGTGGCACTGGTTGGCAGCACTGATAGGTGGCACTGATTGGCATTGATAGGTGGCACTGACTGGCACTGATGGGTGACACTGAAAGGCAGCTCAGATGGGCACTGATATGCACTGGTAGGCACTGATATGTGGCACTGATGGGCACTGATATAAGGCACTGATGGACGCTGACAGGTGGCACTGCTGGGGCTACACTGATCATCAGGGCACACTGATCATCAGTGCCCTGATGATGAGTGTACATGTCCATTCCGCGGAAAGCCGATTACCGGCTGTCCTCTCCTCTCGAGCTGTCAGTGTGACAGCTCGAGAGAGGAGAGAAATGCCAATAACCGGCATTTCCCTGTTTACATGTGATCAGCTGTGATTGGACACAGCTGATCACATGACCGAGCCGACATCTTCGGCTCTTTCCGTGATCGGTGATCCGCACACCAAGGGACACAGCACACTGCTGATCGCCGCGCTGCATGCTCCCTGAGCCGCGCATGTGCAGTGAGAATAGGAGGACATCATATGACGTCCTCCCAGAATGAGAGAACCACCTTGCACCCGTCATATTACTATTTGGCGGGCGGGAGGTGGTTAAAGTGCTTTCTCAACAAGCATGGAGACATGGTTGGATGGGTGAGTTTTTGGTTTGTGCTGCTCAGATACAGTTTATTCCCAAAATTTCTGATTTGTAAGGGGAACCCTATAAAAAAGGTTTGGCATTCCCCTTAAAAATCCATGCTAGAACCTTATATTTGATGAGGGTCAGGCATTAATTTTAAGGGGAAACCCCATACACAAAAACAAGAAAAAAAGAGCGGTGTCCCCCCAAAAATCCACATCAGACCCCTACTTGAGCATGAAGCATGGGTTTCCGTCATGGTATTCACAAGCTTCCAAAACCATACCAGACCACTGCCACATGCCCTCAACTTGGGGAAGGGTATCTTGCCAGGGAGAGCAGTTGTTGGGGGGGGTGGCAATTTTTCCTTAGCAGGTTGGTGGGTGTTGTTCATCATGATCCGCATGGATATACATTGGCAGACAACATTATTGATGATACATTTACACTGTGGGATTTTTTGTTTTTCATTTTTTTTTTTACACTATATTTTTTTGTGTGAATGAGTAACCAGGGCTACGATGTACTCCTTACTCACTCACATAAAGTAGGGTAATAGTTTAAACACCTGCCGACCACTCACAGTAAAGATATTGTGAATGGGCGGCAGGTACAGGCACAGTCACTTTCATGTACATGACTGGCCTTTTGGGTTTGGGGCACTCATCCCCTGCCGACCCATGCTGTGATTAGACACAGCATGAGTTTGGCAGCCGATTTCCATCAATGATTTCATCTGAAGCCTGCTGATCAGCTGTGTCCAATCACACATAGAGCTCTGTGTTTGCAAACATACAGATCTCCATGTACATAGGAAAACAGCAATCTGGCTCTTTCTTCTCCCTGAAAAGCAGGGAGAGAAAACACAGTCAGATTAGTAAGTAAAAGCAGCACACAATACAAACATTACACTTGTTAGGCACACAGAGTCTTGATTGCCCCTAGATGTTAACCCCTTCCAAATCAGTGTCACTAGTACAGTGTCAGTGTACAGTATAATCACTGACCACTGTATTAGCGCCACTAGTGACTTCAATGTCAGTTAATGCCAGATTGCCCCCCATCCTATCACAGTCGCACTAAAAGTCGCTGATCACTGCCAGTACAGTATAGTGTCTAAAACTGGGTAAATTCCAGTATATATAGTATACCATAGTTTGTAGATGCTATAACTTTCGCACAAACCAATTAATATACACTTATTGGGATTTTGTTTGTTTTTCCAAAGACATGTGGCAGATTACATCAATGTATGAAGAAATTAGATTTTTTTAAATATATATATGAGAAATGTTTTATAACAGAAAGTAGAAAATATTTAGTTATTTTTTCCAAAATGTTGGTCTTTTTTTGTTTATATAATAAATAAATATAAAAGCAGTCGTGATCAAATATCACCAAAGGAAAGCTCTATTTAGCAGAGTGCTGAATAGCAAAAAAATGCCCTGGTCATTAGGAGTGTAAAACCTTCTGGAGGGCAAGTGGTTAAAGACGGCTTCTAGATTCTGATAAGCCCTCACCAGGCCAGTTACGTGGGTATGAGGCTCCTGTCATCAACAAGGGGCAAGGTGCTTGCTGGGGGTTCATCCTGGCAAGGTACCCTCCCCATGTGGAGGGTATGTGTCCTTGTGTCTAGGTATGGTTCAGATGAAGGGTGTGCAGGAAAATGCTAGGTGATGCTGGGTGTCCTCCAGCCAGCAAATTAGACAGGCTGTATCTGACTTGCTGTAGATCTTTAAAGGAAATGGTGAAAGAGTGACAGCAGATAAAGATCAAGTTATCCACTGTGTTTGCCCCTGTTTGATCTTTTTTTGTTTTTTTTCCCTTTTAACCTTTTTGGTCTGAGATCTATATTTGTCCCAAGTATCCTTTCATTTATTTAGGTCAGTCATAGACAGTTTGAATCTCGACCGGTTCAGCAGGGGCAGGCTGTTTCATGTACAGGAATGCAGACAACACAAGATGCTGGTGTGAGGAATCATGTTGTACACAGAACTACATCCAGGTCAGCATAGAACAGGAAACAGGAAACAGGAAGTATAAGGCAATGCAATATTACCATATGCAAGTAGGGTCACAGTATTTGCATAATAACTCTATAACATCTCCCTTTTTTACATTCAATTCAAACCTTATAAACAATAAAACTAAAACAGATCCTGAACAGTCTTGAACATGGCATACTGTGTTACTGGTAGATACACTACAAATTGAGTCTATCCGGTGGTCTTGAAACTCGACCACTACGCAAGACCACAGGGATTTTGCCTGGGGAAATCCGTTCAGCTCCAGAAGGTGTTGATAAGGAGCTACCCTCTTTCCTGGCTGGTGTGTTTGGCAAAGAAGAACTTGACGGGATATGTGGCTGCATTTTGTCATCCTCATTGTATCCCGATATGACAGCAGAGTTCTCTCTGCTTTGAGTATATGGTCCAGTAGGACTCGGGGCATTGAGCACCTCAGGAGGATCACGTGCAGGATGCTCATAGGCTTGTGTGGTGAATCGTTCTGCCTTTCGCAGGTCCACTCGATTGCGGCGGTAAAGACTGCCTTCTACATCCACAAGATATGATTGAGGAGCAACTCTCTGCACACAGGAACCTAGTCTCCAGCGACCGGTCCTGTCACCTGGAAGCGGCTTCATACGGATTGGCTCCCCAATGCTTAGTTCAGGTAAGTCTTTAGCAGGCACATCGTATGACAGCTTGGCAATCTGTTTCCTCCGCTGCAGTTTCGCCGGGACACCTGTAACCACACAAGGATCAAGTAATATGTTTGCCACAGGCAATGAAGTCTTCAGTCTCCTAGACATCAAGCGCTGTGCAGGACTACTGTCCATGCCTTCAGATGGGGTGTTCCTCCAATGTAGAATGGCCTTCCACGGATCAGTACCATCAAACTTGGCCTTCTTACAAAGATTCTTCACTATCTTGACAGCCGATTCCGCTTTGCCATTTGCTTGCGGGTGCCTCGGGGATGAGGTAACATGCTTGAATCCCCAATCTTTAAAGAACCGTCTGAACTGCTCACATGCAAATTGAGGTCCATTATCCGAGATTACTCTATCCGGCTGGCCATAACGTGCAAACTGTGCTTTTACAACGCTTGATGGTAGTATCAGCAGACAGGTCAGGAAGTAGCTCAATCTCCCAAAAGTCAGAATAGTGATCAACAATTAGTAGAAAATCCTGGCCAGCATAATTCAGCAAGTTCATGCTTACAATTTGCCAAGGCCGGGTGGGCAGCACATGCGACATCATAGGTTCTTTCTGTTGTGCCTGCGCATATTCATTGCATGCCGAGCAACAGCTAACAAAGTCTCTAATCTCATTCTGCATGTTGGGCCAGTATAGGGTATCACATGCTTGCCTATAGCATGCTTCTCCGCCAATGTGACTGGCATGAATACGAGTCAGCATCTCTGATCTTAAAGATTTAGGAATGATGACCCTTGGGCCCCTTGTACAGTATACCATCCTGAATGGCGATTTCATCTCTGAAAGTCCAATATTCTCTCACAAGTAATGGCACTTCCAACTTGGAATCAGGCCAACCATTCAGAACAACATATTTAAGAGCCTGCAAACTCTTATCAGTTTCAGTGTGCTGTTTTATCTGAAGCAATCTTTGGTCCGTGACGTTTAAATAGTCTGAATGATTAATCTGTGACAGGACATCCAGGTCCCGTTGAACATTGCAAACTGTGTGTTGTGCATACTCAGGTGTACCAACCTGCTTCTGTAGCTCTGCTAAGAGTGTCACTAATGTACATTTCAGGACCAGGTTTATAGACAACATTTAGGCAATAGTTTTGTAATGTTAGCATCATGCTCTGTAGACGTTTGGGTGCACACAAAAGTGGTTTCTTGAAAATAGAAATCAGAGGCGTTTTATGGTCAGTTTCTGCCGTGATCTCGTCGCGCCCATAGAGGTAGCGATGAAAGCGCTGACAGGCAAACACTATACTCAGACACTCCTTTTCTATTTGTGCGTAGTTTTGTTCCGTAAGAGTCAGTGCTCTTGAAACAAAAGCAATAGGCTGGCCAGCTTGCAATAGGCAACACCCAAGTCCAGTTTTGCTTGCATCACTTTGAATAGTTACAGGTTTTGTAACGTCATAGTACTTCAGGACAGGTGTGTCCGTGACCAAGCGTTTGATGTCCTGCACTGCATTATCATGCTATGGAAGCCAATGCCAAACAGCGTCCTTGTCCAGAAGCCTTCTCAATGGCTCGCAGACCTCCTACCACACCTCAGAGAGGTGTGGTAGGAATTTTGCTAGGTAGGTAACAAATCCAATGAAGCGTTGCAGGGATTTCATATTTGCTGGCTGCGGCATATCCTGTATGGCTCTGATTTTTTCTGGGTCAGCCTTCAAACCCTCCCAGGTTAGAATGTGTCCATGAAAGCGGACCTCTTCGACCTTGAATTGCAGTTTTTTCATGCCAAGTCTCAATTTTACCTGCCTACAACGATTCATCAGTTCCAGCAGTTTGCCATCATGATCTTGCTCTGCTTCCACATCTGTGTCCCCACAGCCAACCACAAGGATGTCATCAGCTATTGGTTCAATACCACCGAGTCCAGCCAATAGTTCATGTTGTTTACGTTGATACACCTCTGGTGCAACTGATACTCCAAAAGGCAGTTTGAGCCATCTTTTCCTGCCACGGAGTCCAGAAGGTTGTCATGTAACTACTTGCATCATCCAACTTACATTGTAAAAATGCATCCCGGGCATCAACAAGTGTGAACAGACGTGCCTTTGGCAGCTTGTACAAAACATCCTCGAGAGTTGGCATGATGTAGTGAGATCGTCTCAGTGCCAT